CAGCACCACAGGCGAGGGTGCGGATCCAGGTCCCCAGATCCCCTCCAAGACGCCGTCGTTGCTGCTGGCAACCGAACCCAGACAGCCCAGTTCTCCTCCGCGGCGGGGGGGGGGCACCCACGTCCATTCGCGCGGGATACCCCCTCGAAGCCAGAACGCTGCGTCCATCTCGTGCTGGGCCACGGCTTGCGGCAGCAAATCATCGGACTGCGTGTGTGCCTCCGCCTCCCTATTCATAGGGCACGTCCAGCTTCGGTGTGGGGGGGTCTCCACCGCGCCGTTGCACCGAGCACGCTGTGGGGATATATGCACGTGGGAAGCCATAGCTGCACGCCGCTCCCTCGGCCATACTCCTCCAGCGGCAATCGTGACCATGCTCTCGGCCATGCGGCGGCCTTGCGGCAGGGCTTCCAGATATTTCAGGGCGACCTGCAACGATGCGTGGTCTGCCCCCTGCTCCAGCCCAGCGCCGCAAAAGTGCCTCGAAGCCGACTTCCAAGACACCTGCTCTGAAGATAAATTAAAGTCAGCAAAAAACACTGATACTGTTCAAGGCCATCTGTTCGTGATACTTCTCCTCCGGGAATTCCCAGGAGACTTCATCTGACAGGCGCCGCCTTGTCGGGGTCTCGGGGTACCAGTCGCGCTCCAATAGCGTGATAATGGTTGCCGACATGGGCCCTCTGGCCCATCGAGATCGGCGGTTGGATGGCATAGCCAGCAGCTTAGATAACAAAAGAGGCCACGCTCTGTACACTGACGGTCGGACATCAAGAACTTGAAACCATTGCTGCAGCCACAACGGTAACACCTCAGCTGGAAGGGCAACCCCTGGATCGCGAGAGCCCTCGCGGATGGCTAAGAGGGGCGCGATGCAGATTCCCTTGCTCCCCTCGCTGCATGCGGCCACCAACTTCCCATGACGCTGCTGGAGTTCGCGCCCGCGCGTTCCATGTATAGCCTGGCCGTAGTTGCCGGCCGCCTGCGACCCAAGACGCTCCAGCCGATACGTGACCTTATACCTCTTGGAGGCCCTGGCGAACCTGACGACCCTAGAATGAAGCTTAGCGTGCCTCAGCCCGCACCTAGTTCGAGTGGCCCTCGCACGCCTACGACCTCCACCCTGGTCGACGCCCAAGAAGCTCGCCTGCAACGCCGCCTGGATGACATGCCCCCTTCGACGAACTCTGCGTGCAATCTCGCGTGCATCATGTACATGCGAACACACCACAACGGATTTCGCAACAATGGGCAGATGCAACTCTTTCAACTCATCAGCCGTGTCGGCAATACAAGTGGCCATCTGATCCACAATAGCTCGCCTGGAGCCCAGCAGCGTCTGAGACAAATCATCGATCCAGACTCGATGGGATACGCGCTCGTGCTTGCGAACGATCTTGGCCATAACAGAATGCGCCATGCACTTCGCGAACCTGGTGCCTCTTCTCAATCCTTGGATAATACTACAAGTAGCAAGGAAAGGTTCGCTGACGGTCCCCCATCTGCTCGAGGACTCTGGGAGCCATGCACTGGGTCAGCTCCAGAAACAAACGCACGGGAGGGCATCCTAGGGCAAGCGCTTTCGTCACCAGCAGATCCCGCACGATATTGTCATAGATCCCCTGGATATCAGTGAGCCCGTGCGCATAGGGGGTGCTCAAAACGCCCGAGACCTCCTCCTGCAACGCACGATGAAACGCCTCGCGGAGAGAAGCATTCCCCGCGACTGTTGCGTCCCAATATTGCTCAACTAAGCCGCACCATTCTCCCACGTGCTCCTCTCTAATGGCAGACCACAGACGACCCAATAGAGAAGTGATTCCAATGGCCCTATCTCCATCCTGCTTCTTGGGAATCAACTTCCCAATCACCAACTGTGTCTGGAAAAGGCCAGGACTGGGTCTGCTCAATGGAATTGAGAAGCTCAGCTAGCTCCTGCTGCGCTGCCCACGGTACTCGCTCAACCTCCACTGGAGACAGTCTGTCAGCCCCCCAGCGCCGTGTATGCCTTGATACGGTGGGCAGCCGAGCGTACACCCTCTGCTGTGATGGGCGGCATGGTGTCCTGCTGGGCTGCCTCCCTGGCCGCCTCGAATGCAGACACTATTTGTCTGGTCCGAAGGTTATGGGGAGCCCAAACCTGCTGCCACTTCTTGCTCTTACAGTCCAGGGTATCCTTGGGGTGGATCACCGCTGTGCTGTCCTGCAACAACTCCATGGGCGGTAGCTGATTTCTCTTCATGCTGCGGTGCAGCGTCCCGACTGAGGTCTGCTGGGTGATCCAATCTTTGAACCCGGTGAGGGATTCACTGATGGCCCTGCGCTGCCCTCTCCGCGCCAGCCGCTGAGCCTGCTCAACGAACGACTCCAGGACGGGTAGCGCCAGCTCACCTATGTTCTGCATGACCTGCGCCCACTTCTGGCTGTCCGCGTCCTTCACGGGGCGGAGGAGCCGATGGACACCCACTGGCCGACTGTGAACCAGGTGCACACACGCCGTCTGGATCATCTCCAGCTCGCGCACCCCGTTGCCCCTCTGCCGATGCCGAAGAGCCTGATGTAAAGCGTGGCCACGCGCTTCCACCAGCAGGCAACGCGGTCACGAAGAGGGGCGGCTCGACGTCGTCCCGCTTGCCGTACCTCCTCAACTACGAAACTGCAGCCGTCGCCCCGACTGGGGCCTGCAGGGATGGCCACGCCGTGATGCTGACAGATAGCTCTCTCCACAGCGCGTACCCACACAGAGTACCATGAAGATATGAAAAGCACTGGCTGAGGGTTGAGCCAAAATGCTACGGAGGCGAGAAAGAGCGGAGGCATCTGGCTGTACGAGCAACTGGTGAATGACACCGCGTGAGGAGGAGGTGGAGGAGGATGAGGAGGAGGAGGGGGAGGAAGAGGAGGAGGAGGGGGGAGAGGAGGGGGGAGAGGAGGAACTCGAAGGCGCGATCGCCCGAGCCCGCCTTTCGCCGCACGGGGCGGCCGAGGCGGCGCCCACGCGCGGCGCACTCCCGCGAGGAGGACCGCTCGCCCGCGACGCCATGACCTATGCTGCTCATTGACTAGCGCGTTCCACTACTCGCAAAGTAGCTACTCGCATATGGCCTGGATCCGCCACAGGGGGTCTACGATATATTACACAACGGCAGACGAATGGCTTCTGACGCTTGCGAGTAGTGGAACGCGCTCGGCGAGCTCAGAAGGACAGAGGCTATGAGACTACCACCCGCGGGCTAGTATGCCTACACTGGGTTTCTTCATAAGCGTGGGGGATCCTCCCCCGACGGGGGTCAACCTTGCCTCATCGTCGCGCCGCGACGGGGGTCGGAGCGCCTTCGGCGCGCGACGGCTGCCCGCGACGGGGGTCGATGTGGGGCCGTCGGCGGGGGTGACGCCATGCCGACGCTTATTAAGAAACTCGGAATACCGAGACCCTGCCGCGCAACATGGCACCAGTCGGGTTGCGCCGCGCGAACAGGACGTACCATTCGATGCGCCGACATCGCCTTGCTCGCTCCTGCAGCTGGAAGGGCACACAACTACCACACGGAATCCAGCTACAACCATAACAAGGACCTACGTAACGACGGGCCAGTGGCTGTAACGACGGGGATGATACCGCAGATGCCACAGCCCAGAAACATAATCCTGATAGCGCCATTTCACACCTGAGTACGAGCGCCGCAATCTTAATCCCTAGCATCCTGCTCTTTACGGCCTCAATGCAGACGCCGATGTGGTGCCGACCCCCTCCCCTGACTTCGGATCCGCCATACGCAAGCAGGGCGGAACTGTCCAGCCTACTGCTCAGGCTCGTGTCGAGTTCCGCCCCACTTTGCCGTCGCCGCCTTCATGATTTGCGAAGATATCACTACTGTCTGAGGATGAGATTTCTGCCCTACTGTTTCGCATCGTCTGGGGTGCACTTCCGACACAATCCCACCAGCCGTCTGGGCGTCGGTGGTCTAACGAGTTCTCTCCTCTTACAAAGCACCTCTTCTCTTCGGGGAAGGGTGCCCTCCCCATCCCCTTCCTGAGGTTTTTTTGTTGGTGGGGGGGTCGCAAAGGGTGAGAGCATCCAAGGTGGCCCAACATGGCTTCAAAAGATCCTCCGATGCTCCAAGGTGGTCCAAGACAGCTTCCGAACATGCCTCCAAGAGGACCACAAGACGGTTACATTTGCTATCGGAACCCCTTAGGAATCACACAAGAGCACAGCACCCCTCGAATATCAAAGGAAAATCAATGATTGATGGCTTCTCGCCTTTTCGCGCGCGATGCGGCTTTAAGGCTCCAGTATGGCTCAAGAGAGCCCAAGATGGGACCCAATACGCCCCCAAGACGGCCCCAAGAGCACCCAACAGCGCCCCGAGACGGCCCCAGGAGGAGACAGAGGGGGTCCTAGATCGGGGACCCCCCCTTTTAATCGATGGTCTCCAAGATGGCCCCAAGAGGCCCTCCACGGCTTCAAAGAGAGGCCCAAGAGGGCCCCAAGACCCCCCCAAAAAGGCCCATGAGGGCCTCAAGACCCCCCCAAAGACCCCCCAGAGGTATCCCGATGATACCACGGACCCCCAATAAGGACAGCTGCCCTGAACATCGTTCCTGGATGGGCTGGTGTGGATTCGCGAAACGTGGAAAACAGTCGAAGAATGGACCAAAGTACGGCGGATCTGAAGTCGGGGGCCGGTCGAGGGATCAGAGGACCGAATGCATCGAGGACACCGAGGGCACCGAGGGCATCGAGGGTGTCGAGGGCGTCGTCGACATCTAGGGCATCGAGGCTCGAGGCATCCGAGAGCCCTCCGACATCGAGGCCGTCGCAGGCCTCCGAGGGCCTCCGAGGCCTCCGACAGCCCTCCGAGAGCCCTCCGAGAAGCCGCGCCCGCGGACGGCGAGAGCCCGGGGGGGCGCACCGGCGGCTGGCGCGCGGTGGCGCGCGCGCGCGGCCTGGCGGGCGCCTCCGCGCCGCCGCCGTCCGAGGCGGCCCTGGGCGACGCCTGCGGGGGGCGTCGGGGCGTCGGTGGTTCGTGGATCGACTGGCGGATGGATCCCCGGGCCCCCTCGAGCTGGCTCTCCTCGCTTCTGGGCGACAGCCGATGTCATCGGTGCGGGGGGGCGGCCGATAACCTAACCTTTTCGCTGTGAGCCTGCTCTATGGTTTTTGGCAATGACGGGCGTGATCGGGAGAGGGTCAGGTCGGGCGTGTCCTCCTCCAGGCGGATTTTGGGCGAGAATTAGAACTATCCCAGTGCGACCCTACCTAGGAGTTGGAGCCTCTAGGAAAGCAACATATATATATAGCAGCAACAATAGTGGATGCTGTGCTGCACTATGCTATGCTCTGCTCTGCTCTGCTCTGTTATGCTATACTATGCTATGCTGCGCAATGCTATGCTGGGCTAGGCTAGGCTAGGCTAGGCTATGCTGCGCTATGCTATGCTATGCTATGCTATGCTATGCTATGCTTTTGCTTTGGCTTCGCTTTTGCTTTTGCTTGGCACCCAGGGAGCGCACCTGGGGGAACCGCGCGTTTGCTTTTACCTTTGCTGTTGCTTTTGCTTGGCTCCCAGGGGACTGGGGGAACCGCCCGGGGCGGTTTGCACTGCCCGGCCCCTTTAAGCCAAGCGAGTAAGAACCCTTCTAGGCAGAGCCTGAGTAGGGAAATAATTAAAACATGCTCAAAACAAATGAAAGATAATCGAAAAATCGTCCCCAGTCTATTTCTTGACTATTTTTGAATATTCCTCCTGTACACTGTAGAAGGATGTGCCCGACTAAAGGAGGGGGGGTTCGTCCCCCCGATTACATCACCCGGAAATCTCAGGGAATCCTTGAAGAATCCGTGGTACATCTTGTGCAAATGTGGGCAAAATAGCGTGACGTGATCCAGGGGAGGGTCGTCGTCGTCGTCGTCGTCGTCGTCGTCATTCAGGGTCGGCGGCACTGACCGTAAGGCCTTCGCAATAGCGTGGCGTGATCCGGGGGGGATGGGGAGGGAGAAGGCCAATCATGGCCGTTATCGCCCAGACCTTGGAAAAACAAGCTGTTTGGGCAGCCCGATGACCCAGCTCATCCCTGGACCCCTGAAGGACAGCTTCCTCGCGTCGTGACAAGAGTCACGGCGGGAGCTCTCTGTTCGTCTTTGGCCTCCGGGGGCCCTCGCCGGACCCCAGGAGCGACAAAAAAAAACTCAGGATGAGGAGCCAGGCCCAGGGAATGGGTCGAGGCCTCTAAGGGTCGACGAAGCGAACAAATCATGATCTCGGGAGTCTGAGTCTACCTCCCTGTCCAATGGGGGCGCGGGCACGGGGGCGGAGGAGAGAGGGGCCGGGGACAAGCTAGATGCTCAAGCGTTTGATATGACGTCCTATCCCTCCCTCCCATCCCATACCATGGCGTAGATCTCCTCCCTGTTCGCACTGTCGGATGTCCAACAGGGTCATGATCCCGAAAGGGTGCGAGATGCATGGTAACGCACGGCGTACCACGGAGTAGAAAAGCACGGCAGAGCGTCGTCGGGTCGAGACACAACTCCTGTTCGACAACAGGCTCCGAGGGAAACCAGACATGACGCAGGACGGGATATGTAAATGGACGGTGTGGAAACAGCGGAAGCGTAAAATGAGAGCCAGCACTGGTAGATCATACGGCCCATGGAGACAACAAGTTCGAAAGGAAACTAGGCATGACGCAAAACGAAAATGTCAAAGGACGGTTCGGAAAGAGCGGAAGCGTAAATGAAAGCTAGCGCTGCAACGGGAATCCGATTTGGAAGATCCACATCCAAGAAATGAGGTTAGCTCTGCAGCAGGGATATGATTTGAAAGGGTCGAAAGTGAGAAAAAAAGGAGCCAACGCTGAAGCGGGAACGCCATCCTGGAAAAACCGAAGACGTCAGGAGTGGAAGAACGCACATCATCGACCACCTTTGGGGGATCCTATGTGTAACAAACAGCACGCGGATAGGGGCAGGCTCGGCGTTTTCGGAGGGGACAGGAGAATAATATTCATATTGCGTAATTGTGGAAGGAGGGAGTTCGAGGGGAAGGCGATTCGCTGTCCGCGGGGGGCCCTGCAAAGGGGAAGGGGAAAGGAGCGGGGATTTCTCGTGTAGCCGTTAATTGGAATTTTCGCGAAACGCTTGGGCGTCTGATTTCGTCCCATTTTGGTTCCACTTCCGTTCTGTTTTGGTCCCGCTGTCGTTCCGCAGCGCTGCGCGTTGTCACGATGGCGAAATCATCGTCCTCCTCATCATCTCCCGCGTTACTCACCATCGACCCCTGCCCTTGGCTCGCGCGCACCTCCCCCGCCCCTGCGCCGTCTCGGGCCGGCGCGGGGCGTCCCTGCCAGAGAAAAACCAAGCGCGCCACGATTGCAATCGCAAAACCTCCGCGAAGAGAACGCGCGCAGGCTACTCGCGACCGGGCCCGTGGGTCACGGCTTGAATCGCAGCGTCGGTCCAAAACCGAAGCCCATGCCGACTGGCTACGGCTTGCGTCCGCGCTTGGCGTCGGCGGCGCAATTCACGTCGCCGGCACAACAAACATCGCGCGCGCGACGAACATTGCAGGCGCGACTGACGCACGCCTCCACGTTTCTCCTCCTCCTCCTCCTCCTTCTCCTCCTCGTCGTCCTCCTCCTCCCTCCTCCGCCTCCTCCTCCTCCTCCTCCTCCTCCTCCTCCTCCTCCTCCTCCCTCCCTGTGTTTCAAACTGGGTCGTCGCTTACGCAGACGGGGCGCCCAACGTCGCACCTGACCAGTCGGGCCGAACCGAACCGGACCGGAGCGGCCACTCGAACCGAACCGAACCGGTCGGACCCAACCGCGCGAAAACCGGAACCGAACCGAACCGGCGGCAGGCCCAAGCCGAACCGGCCGAAACCGGACCGATGCCAAAACCGGCCAAGCAAAACCGACCCCGCTGCAGAACCGGACCGAACCGAACCGAACCGATCCCTTCATGCATCATCATCATGATCATCATCATCATGATCAGCATCATCATCATCATCACCATCATCACCATCATCACCATCATCATCATCATCATCATCATCATCATCATCATCATCATCATCATCATCATCATCACGGCATCAGAATCATCATCAGCAGCAGCAGCACCAGCAGTAGCATCAGCATCAGTAGCAGCAGCATCATCAGAATCAGCATCAGCATCAGCAGCAGCAGCAGCATCAGCTTCACGCACATCATCATCATCAGTATCGGCATCATCGACATCATCAGCCTCATCATCGGCATCAGCATCATCATCATCAGCAGCATCATCAGCATCATTATCATCGCCGACATTATCATCATGACCCTCATCGCCATCATCAGCATCAGTATCAGCATCAATATCATCACCATCAGCATCATCACCATCAGCATCATCATCATCATTGGCATCAGCATAAGCATCGTCAGCATCATCATCATCATCATCATCAGCAGCATCCTCATCTTCACAAGCAGAATCATTACCGGCATCATCATCATCGGCCTCGCCCTTGTCAGTATCAACACCAGCACCATCATCAGCAGAAGCAGAATCAGTATCCTCATCAGCGGCACCACCACCACCACCATCACCCTCAGCAGCATCAGCATCATCATCGATATCATCATCGATATCATCATCAGCAGCATGATCATCATCATCATCATCATCATCATCAGAATCAGCATCAGCACCAGCATCATCATCAGCCTCGTCATCATCAGCCTCAGCACCATCATCATCACCATCATCAGCAGCAGCAGCATCAGCATCATCACCAGCATCGCCATCGTCATCATCAGCAGCATCAGCATCCTCATTACCATCGGCATCAGCATCATCAGCAGCATCATCATCAACATCATCAGCAGCAGCATCATAACCGTCATCAGCATGATCATGAATATCACCAGCAGCATCGCCATGACCTGCATCGGCATTAGCAGCATCATCGTCAGCATCATCATCAGCATCATCATCATCCTCATCATCATCATCATGATCAGCATCATGATCATCATCAGCAGAAGCATCGCTATCATCAGTACCAGTACCAGCATCAGCAGCAGCATCCGCATCCGCATCATTATCATCATCATCATCATCATCATCAACAACAACATCAACGCCGACATCATCAGTATGATCATGAGTATCACCAGCATCATCGCCAGCATCACCATCAGCATCATCAGCATTATCATCAGCATAACCAGAATCATCACCGTCAGCATCAGCATCATCGTCATCATCAACATCATCAGCATAGCCATCAGCATCATCAGCGTCATCAGCATCATCATCATCGTCATCATCGACATCATCACCAGCATCAGCATCAGCATCATCGTCGTGATTATCGTCATCATCGTCAAAATCGTCCACATCAACATCAGCACCGGCATCAGCAGCAGCATCATCACCATCATCAGCATCATCAGCAGCATCATCATCATCATCAGCAGCATCATCACCATCGTCATCGTTATCGCCATCAGCATCATCATCATAATCAGCATCAGCATCAGCATCAGCATCAGCATCAGCATCATCATCAGCGTCATCATCATCGTCGTCATCGTCACCATCGTGAGCATCATCATCATCATAATCATCATCCTCAGCAGCACCATCATCGTCGCCATCATCAGCTCATCATCAGCATCAGCATCCGCCTCGCCATCATCAGCATCATCGACATCGTCAACATCATCAACAGCAGCAGCACCAGCATCAGCGGCACAACCACCAACACCATCTTCAGCATCATCATCACCACCATCACAACATTAGCATCAGCATCAGTAGCAGCAGCAGCATCATCAACAGCAGCATCAGCTTCACGCACATCAGCTCAATCATCGGCATCATCGGCATCAACATCGGCGTCATCATCAGCATCATCGCCGACATCATCAACATGATCAAGAGTATCAAAATCAGCATCGCCATCATCAGCATCCGCATCAACGTCAGCAACATCATCATGGGCAT